TTTAGTTGAAGCCAAAACTGGTCTAGATTGTGTTTTCCTAAAAGCAACAACATATTTTTATTAAACGATGCATGAAAAAATGCTAAAGTTTCACTAGCTTTATTTTCATACATATACCCTACACTTCATTTGCTGAGGTAATGGTGTTGCAAATCATGTCCAGCTGTGCGTCAGGCAGAGATATGTGTTATAAAAGAGATAGTGGTGGGGGAGGAGGTGAATTTGAGACTTTGTTGTGGCTGCTTTCAAAACTATCCTTCTCAGAAGTCCTGCCCTGAGGATAAAACTTAGTGTCCCCATTAGCAGATTAGGAGAATTTTTGGAGTCATCCGAGTTGGATTCAGTTTCCAGTAAAGCAACAAAACACCCAGCGACATCACATCATTTTAAAACTAACGCATGCATGTATACCTCACGTCAGATCTGACAAAAAAACATTTCAAAAATATGAGCTGCAAAGTCCTACCATTGTTTACCCATCTATTTGTGGCTTTGCACTAATCTGGCTGTTCTGATATATGAATTTTGAAGAATGCCAAACCCAAAATATCGCGTCTAGACCTGAAGCCAAAAGACCTGTAACAGCAAGTTCTGTTCTGCAGAGAAATTAGCGCACGTAAATTCACTCAGCCAGCTTTTCTGGATAACGTTAAACATGTATGTGATGCGTGCCTTTGTGCGTGTGTCGAATTCTTTGTTTGAGGAAGGCTCATGAAGGAGAATGGTCGGCTAAGGACACCGTGGGGTGCTCCCTTCCCTTGCAGTGGTGGGCCAAGAGGTAGTGGGGGGAGGAATTCAGGGTTTCTGGGAAACAGTCTGGGCATAATTGGAACCTGACTGCTCTCACATGTCTCCACTTACAGGAGGAGCTGGAGAATCCTGCTGCCTGGCCTTTGAATGCTGCTGCAGGCCCCGTCCTGAGTACCGAGGTCCTAAATGTTTTCACAGCAAATATCTCAGGTGGGACGGCCAGGTTTACTTCTGCATATCCATTCGGGTACATTTTGTTCCACAGATTTCATTTCAGAGCAGTACACCACTCTATTGTTTTTCCACTCATTCTTGTGCAAGACTTGGCATTTATCAGGTTCCTGTCGACACAAAGAACTCAACCGCACTAGAAAAAAAGAGCCTTTTTTGTGTGTTTCTGCTATGAGAACATGCAGATAAAGAAAAACAAAGACTCCCCCCCCCCCCCCCCCCCCCCCCCCCCCACTCTTCTGCCACTTCTTCACAACCACCGCACATTTTCACGTTTTGGTGTGTTTCTCTTCCTGCAGCAGCGTGTCTCTCATTTCCCATCAGCCGCAGTCGCCTCCTTAAGCTTGCTCTGTAATTCTGATAAACATCCCTTTCATCCTGTTTCATAGCAGAGATGCAGTAAATATTGTTGAAAAGCAGTGATGCAAAGATGAATAACTAATCTTTTTCTTTTAAATCTTGTTTAAAAAGCTTTTATTTTTATTTGAAAACCAAATGCATAAATGCAAATCAGGAATCTCACTCTTTTCAGCGCACATCTGGAGAAAATTACTTTATAATTTTCCCTAAAAGCTAAAGGCAATGGCCCATAGGAAAATATTTTAAGCTGTGATCCATTCAAGCCCAGATTAGAGTTAGATTTTTTTTTTTTTTTTTGCCTGCTGCATCTCAATCACTACAAGATCCTTCAAAGACCTCTGGTTTAAATGAAATATGACATTAACTAAATAAAAGACATGCAAAAACTAACATGAAAATAAAAAGTAGGCTGATTTTTGTTTTGTTTTTTTAGGTACTTTCATGTTAACATCATCTTTGAGTTTTACAGGAAACTGGAAAATACTTTTCATGTTAACATTTGCAGCTTTCTAAATAAAGCTTTGGATTTAAATATTTGAAGTATAAACTACCACAAGTGCTGAATGAAAGCTTTTCAGCGTTCATGGAGGGGGTTTTTTTATGCTTGAGGCTATTGAATAAAATCTCCAACACCTTCACATCCATCATGTTTGATATTTTCTTATGGCACCTTTGGAAACAAAAGCAGCTTTCCAAGAAAAACTAAGGAACACATTTCCTCTGGAAGCCTCTCCTAAACTTTCTTGGAAAATGCCTGTTTTTGTCCATGCCTCTTTGGTTCAGGTCTTTCCTCGGCCATGCTTGCTTCAGATGGAGACTGTGCCTGCTCCACCTTTTATTGCTTTATTTAAAACCACTCCCGTGTTTGCCTGGTTTTATACTTTAGGTTGTTCTTGGCCGACATAAATGCAGCTCCACAAATCCTGACGCCTGTTTTCCTATTTCCTTTGACTCTTGAAAGTGTTCCCAGTTCTTAATGCAAGGAAAGTAAACTCCGTTAAAAAGAAATGGGGTTATAAATTGGATGGGGGGGTTGATGTTGATGAACCCTGTTTTGGACAAAACGTCAAATATTAGAGAAACTTAAACAGATCAATTTGTTTCTTTTTATATTTATAATTTCCGGGGCATTTATTTTATCAAGAAAGAGCTTTTCTAGTCCTCTCAACCATCACATTCTCATGTGGGGTGCACCTACATCTGCATAAGAACTGTCTCCTGGATTACTTAAGTTCAGATGGGAAACCCCGTCTAGAAATGTTAGTGTTTCCAAACTTCTATCAAGAATGACGAAACCTCTTGTACTTTTGCTAATTGCTCGAGTTACTTCTACTTACTCTGATCTGACACAATCTTGAAATGTCATCCTTTCGTTTATTCTCATGACCATGTGATTCAGAGCATCAGGCTCCATGACGAACCATGGGATATCAGCAATGAAGAAACAGCTCTTTGTCAACATGGAGGAACAGCATCCTACCTCCACCCCAGTTCGAAGTCTTTCTCAGCCACTGAAATCTTTTCTTCTTCCATGCTTTTACCTCCATCTATGTTCCCATCAACTAAACTGAATGTAGTGTAAAACGCTTTAGGTTCCCCTGAATTAAAACAGTTATATATAAGTACAGACCATTAACCGGTTTCTTAAAAATAAATTATCCTACACGAGCTGTGGAACTTTACAACTCCTCCAGAGTTACCATGCATCCTAACCTCGTCTGAATGCTCAATTCAGGTGGAGATTCATGTCATGGTAAGTTTGCAGAGGATGGACTGAACAGATCTTAGGTAATGTTTTGGGTATTATTTTTAAACCTTACATTTTCTATAATTTCCCAAAAATTAGTTGGACAAGTTGATCTCTGAGGAAAATTGGTTGATCAGAATTTTTATGCAAGTATCCTAGTGAAATGGAGATAAATTAAAATAAACAAACACTCTTCAGTGCTTATATTACGAAAAAAAAAATATATATTAAAAACTAGACGTCTTCTGATAGGTTTTGATGGTTTCCCCTTAATAAAATGGATTTAAAGTATTCAGGGCTGCCAACTTTTTACCAAACTTTGGGGTGAGATTTTGAAATAGTTTGGACAGGAAAACTTTTCAGGGTTAGTCTATGAGGATAGGTGCAGCTATAGGTTGGAGGTTTTCAGAGGATTTCACTGAAACAAGTCGGCAAAATGTGGAATTTTTAGAGCACAGTCAATGTTACTGAGTAAGAATAAGTGGTCTGTAGTTATGTGGAACATTTTTAACACAATATACATTATTTTCTACATTATGGTGATTTTTAGAGAATTGAAAGCAGAATGGGCCCTATTCAAATACTTGCATCTTAAATATAATTTAAACTAATAATTTCGCAACTTTGCTCATTAATTATTCTCTGCAGCTCAAGTAAATTAAACAATGGGGAACTAATAAGCTATTACTGGATTACTGGCACTGATACAGGAACCAGAGCAATCGAAACCTATGCAAACTACACTGTGTATGAATATTTGGTAATAATCTAAGGATTAAAAATCTTAAGTTATTATCTTATTAGTTCTTCTTTTTTTTTTTTTTTACAATTGACAAAAAAGATTAGATTCAATAAAAACTCTTCATGACAGAAGACAGCACTTCTCTGGATGTTTCAGTTTGGAAGGTGTGATGGAAATTAAGTTTTTAAACATATTCAATGGACCTAAAAATAATTGAATAAGATTAATAATAATTAAAGAAGAACATCCCTGTAATTCCTCTTACATCAATCCTGGATAACTGAGCTGTTCTGCACATCATTTCTGTATGTGGTCGGTCTTTTCTTGGGTGGCTGATCTTTTGAAAAATAAAATGCAATGCTTCTTTTTACTTTTTGTGGAGCTCCTATGGGTTTGAAAAAGAAACCTGAAAGCTTTAAGCATTAAAATATTTGTGTTGGTTTAATTACCCCTAAATTCCAACGGGGGATTATTCAACTAGACTGAGATGAGTTTTAATGTCATTTTTTAAGTGTGAGTCTTGCATTGCTCAGTAGACAAAAAGGAGAAACTGGGTAAAAATGTTGAAAATTTTAACAGCAATCAGCTGGACCTTTATAGGCTCTTATTAAAGGAATAGTTGCATCTCTCTGACCTCATCCCAGCCGTAATCAACCACATAAAAAGAACTTCTGGGTTTATGTATTTTCAGCCTCATTGTTTCTAGCATGCCTTCTATTACACGCAGTGACAGTTATGCCTGGATGTTTCCAGCACAACTGCACCATTGAGAAAGTCATCTCTATTGATCGCTTTTCCAGGCATCATTGAATATGATACATATTCACTATTAAATATCGACCTTTTCCCCTGCGCGCCGTCATTTTGTGCCATAAATACTTTACAAAGCAAGCCTGTGAGGTAATATGAAATGTTATGGAGCGGTTGAAAAAAAAAAGGGCTGGGTTTAAACGGTAACAGAAGGCGGGACATTCTTTTTTTTTTTTTTTGGCGTGTGTGTGGTTGGAGTGAAGCCTGATCGGAAAGAGAGCGTGATTCAATTTCAAGGCGTCCCTAAAGGGGAAATACGGTAATCACGTGCTCACAGCTGACGCTGAGCTTCTCAACCTAAACGGTCCTACACTGCCCCCTACTGGACAACATTAGAAATGCACACGTTCCAAAAGAGACTTTAAACTTGAGACAAATGAGGCTTTATTTCAAATTGAGTAAATGGCATCGATAGAAATCTGAAATACTATGACAGTGTACTAAACAAAAACAACAAAAAAGGCAAAACTAACAAAACTAGATGTCCACTGTCTATTTAAATATGTACAACCTTGATAAATAAAACAATACTGTTGAGAATTCCCTCTGCTGTGCGCTCCTTCCTAATCCTCTAGGAGCAAAGCATTTATGCAGCAGAGAGGATGAGAAACAGGAAACTGAGCAGATTATTCACTTTGGACAAGGAAAGAAAAAAAAAAACATTTACAATATATGATTGTGTATTCAATTTGTCACTGCTGCAGCCCTGTCCCCGTTTTCATACAAAACATCCTGAGATGGAGTACATCCCCCTCGTTTACAGGCATAGTTTAGAGCTTAAACGGCAAGATGTTTTTGTTTGATCTCTTTTAACAATATGGCTTCAACATAAACAACCTGAAGTTTACAGTATTTTACAATAATCAGAGGTTATTTTAAAAAAATCAAAAACAAACACTGCACAGAAATTAATAATAAAAAAATTACATAGAAGGAAAAAAAAAGATGTGCTTGACAGGGTAAAGAAAACTACATTAGGCTCGCCAACCAGCAGCAATTCCCAGTCACATTTACTCAAAAGCTCCAAGCACTAACATTCTCTAACTTTTAAATTACTTCAGTATTATACATTGGTACTGATCTGATTTTGTGATAGAAAGGGTAAACTCGCCATCTTACCCGGTAACAGAGATTTTTCCAAACTGGACATCTGGAAATAGGTACAAATGCTGATGTACATGTAGAAGGCCTGCTTTTAAATCTCCACCTAAACCCCGACAATACTGAAATAATTTACTGTAATTTCCTATTGGTTTCTCTTAGCTTAGACTTTTTCTCTACAACTTTGCCCTTTTCTCAGGTTTTTCTACTTGCATACAAACTAGAAGCAGAAACAAAGTCCACATCATGAACAGCAAATTCTACAGTAGGGGTGAGTGTGTTCAGGATGAGGTGCATTGTTTTGCCTAGCGCTGCACTAACAATGCTAAAGGTTGTTCTGCTCTTAACTGCTGATGTTAAGTCATCTGCAGAATGAGCGCCTGTAAAAACATGTTCTGGATTCAGATTTAAGCAAACTGATCCGATAGGAGGCAAAGATAGATGATGTTGGTGTAGGGGGGCCCTAAAAGGAGCCAACTGCTGTGTTTCAGGCATCCTCAGGACTATAAGGTGATAAAGATGCTCATTTTTTAATAAGACATTCATTCAAATGAAAATCTGCAGGAAATTTTGAAAATCAACTTTTAAAGATTAAAATTGAAAACAGACACCATCCCGGCAAGTTTAGAAAGGTTGTGAGGAGGTCCTCGTTTTTTTGGGATTTAATCTCCTGAGTGGCAGGTCCTTCAGTAACAGAAGGTTTTTCAGCTACAATTTATTTCTAAAATAAAAAAAGCACTAAAATACGACTAACTATTCCAACCCTCCATCTAAAACATTCTTCAGCAGCTTGAGGCGCAAGAACAGTTTAATATAATCAAAGGCAGAAGTACAAAGATGAATCAGTGGATTAAAGCGTGTCTGAAAAGACCTTAGAGGAACATTTTGGTGTCACACATGGGTCAGACCTGCTGAGTGTGCAAGAGGCGACTACAGAAACATATTGCCAATATAAACAGTTACTGTGAGGAATGACTTTTAAAGCTTTTCTTAAAGGGGATTTTAACCTGTAGGATTCCCTTCCTGCCTGAGACCCAGAACATCCAAAGCTTGGAGAGAGAAAAAAAATAAGAGACATTCAGACAGAAGGTTTGAGGAAGCTTTGAACCGCAGCTATTATCTAAATCTCCACCATGTTTCCTGTTTTCTTCTGGCCTGTAGAGTTTCAGAGCTGATTCTTGAAGAATTCCTTGGAGAGGTCTGATGGAAACCTCAACCATGAACTCTGCAACGATCCGGGCAGAGGAAGCAGACGGCCTGACCCCTCTTCTCTTTCAAGTGCAACGTTGGAGGATCCGATCAAGTCTAGTGCCTCTTTAGTGAAGACACTTTCTTCTTCCTGGCTGCAAGCATCTCATAAAAGGGATCCCTGCTGATGGCAGCTCTGTGGAAAAACAGATGCAGGAGAAAATTTACATAAAGTCTGTAATCTAAGCTGTTATAGACCCATGCATCTACCTAAGTAGTTTGAATTAATTGATGTTATAATCCTTTTTACAAATTTGGTCACAGAAAAAAAAACAAAGATTCAACAGGTTTTGATAAGAAGTCATGCTGGAAACCAAGTCATAAAATAAGATGGAAATACAGCAACTTTTTAGAAATATTAAAAATTAAAATAGGAGCTGTGATTATGCAATATGTATTTGCGTTTAGACTGAGTCAATATATATCAAACTACAGTTTTTTGTGGTATTTATCTATCTGCATCACAAATGACAAATGTTTTGTGGTTGTTCTTGGTAATGAAACTCAGACTCATTTAGCTAGCACAGCTTTGAACATCATTTTTCTATAGTTGCAGCAGATTGTGAAAGGGATCTGGTTCTGTGCTTTGACTAGACCATTCAGACACTTGATGAACATTCTTTAACAGGGTTTATACAGGAAGGAATAACTCTAACTTGATGCTTTTTTAATGCACTTATATTGCTCTTAGGAATAATTTTAATGCCACCAACAGCTACCCGTCGACAGGCTGCAGCCATGTCCTGAATTGCTCGTTTTCCAGCCACTTTCGTTGAAATTTGCTTTTTCCACCCCATTCTCTAGCTTTTTCTCCGACTCAAGCTTCTTTTCTGAACATATAGCTTTGTGATCAACCTGAAGCAGTTCCACCCAAATATATCGTGATATAATATGTCTGACAAAATTGTTTTTATAAAAATTTTTTAATAAAGCATTTTAAATGCCACAATAAACACATTTAATTAATTGTAATGCCAATTAAGGCCTTAATTTAAAAAAATAATGATTTAATGACTTTTAATGATTTTTAATGATCCGCGGAAACCCTGTTTAATCTAAACCTGGGGTTTGATTGGAGACGACTCGATTGCTGGAACATTTGAACTTGACCTGGTTCTACGCACCTGACTCAAAAGGCTAAAACCGCCTCCTCAGGATGCAGCGCTTTGATAACCGAGAGAGAGCTACAGAGACCCTGACCCCAAAAGTTTTAACTCCCTAATCTAAAACTTTATTTTTCTTGTTTTGGGTCAATAAAAAGTGAGAAAAAGAACTTACTTAATGCTGTTCATCCATTCGTCTTTTTCTTCTGCTGTGGGGGCAGAGATGCGATAGAAGGTGTGGTTGCCTTCAACAACGCGTCCATCCGCCTCAGTTTTGCACGCTTTTATGACCTGGTCTTTGTTGTCGGGGATGAAAAGTTCAAAGCAATTCTGACAAAAGAAAATAGAAATCAGAATCCAATAGATTCAAATCAGAAAAAATAAAATCTGATAGACAGTGAAGCTCAAAGCCTATGTAATCTCTTTATGCACCACTAGAGGGTGCTCTACTTACAGGCTTTTTATCCTCAACCTCCCTGATGCTCAGATTCTCCAGCGGAATGATGCCTCTGGGCTCTTTGTCCTGCAAAAAACAATAAAAACTCATTAAAAAAACATGTTTTGCACGCTGAAGTTAGACTCTTCCTGTTAAAGCTGATACTCACTGTGGTGTATTCGAAGTAGTAAAGGCAGTTATCTGTGAGAATGAACCATCTTCTTTTCCAAGTTTTAACGCGGCCCCCTGCAGAGCAAACAATAACGATCAGAGAGGATCGGCAAGATCAGGAGACAAGGAGAAGGAGAGATGAGAACCAAAAGCACCGAGCGGAGCAGCAGACAGGCAGACGGATGTATGGGCAGACAGACAGATGACGGCTCCGAGGGACTCCTGTTAACCACACCAAGTCCTCCCCTTCACCACACTATTTAGAGTTTGTGGATATAAAAAAAACGACTACCTCAGAAATCCTAAACTACACTAAAACAGCTTATATTCAATCTCTCCCATTTCATTTATCTGGTGGATCCACACAAACGCATTTTTAAAAAGTTTGCAAATATGAAGCATACGTACAAGTTTTATTTCTAATTCTAGATCTGATTGTAAAGAAAGTAACATCTGGTCTGATTATATCCAGATGGTGCTAAATCCAGACGTTAATGCTCCTAAACGCTGTCAGTCTGGGATGCATCAGTGCATCAGTTTAGCGGCACACGCACAAACAAAGATGCACTGATCAAATGATTAAAGAGTTAACATTTGAAACTCCTAAAAGCTCTTTTATAGACAAAGGGAATTTAGACTTTCCTTCAACGTTACGATTTACAAAAAGCTGCTGTAGCATTTTTAAATCCACTATGTCGCAAAAAAACAAAAAATATGGATTAAACTGCATTCTTCTTGTTCTTTACTAAACCTTCCTGTTATCTGCTGGGAATTTCACTCTCTCTTCAACGTGAATAAACCGCATCCTCCAACTTCTACTCCTAGTTTTTCCTCTAAATACTTCTAATGCGACCATTTGATTATAATGTTTTCCCTAATGTGTCTTTACACATTACATTATATGTTCTTGTTACCTTTTATCATCCCATCATTTAGCTCATCCGGAATTTATAAGCAAAGAGCTACGAAAATATGGAAGCTGCGTGTTTAAAGTGTGAATAATAATCTAAATGAAATAATTAAATGTATATGAAATCAGTAGACCCAATTCATGTTTGTTGGTTGGATCTTGTTGTTTAGTTTACAGCCCATTGGGGGACTTGGAATGATATCAATCTGCATATTAAGTAGCCAGAAAACAGATTTTAAAGCCTTGTGTGGACGCTGTATGTAAGTCTGACTGAGCAAAATAAGAAATGTTTGAGGATTTGGGTTTGAGCCACAGGGGGCACATGGTAGGTAACTTTAAACTCACTGATCTGCGGTTGACCTATTGGCCTCTTTGTCACCAACGCTTCCTGTGAGGGGAAACCTGATTACAGAAGCAGATGGGCGGCTGAACACAGGGAGGAACTGGATGCCGACAATCTGGGCTAAGATGGGAGCATTCAGGCTAGACTGGACTGACACCTGCTTTCTCTAAAGGCATCTTAAACTAATTTCCTGTTTGTCTAGACAAGAAAATCCCACCACCATTGTTAGTGGGAAAAAAAAGGTGTGCAGCCAAAGTCATCTTCCAGTAGGTGAGGTTTGGAGACGATTTCTACACAAACATTGAAAACACACTTTTGTCTTCATATAACAGCAAAGGCGCTGTATATGATAACCACTAATCTCCCTGTTATGACCTTTATATTAAGACGTTGCTGATATCTGACAGAGAAAGACACCATTGGCTCCTCGCCACGCGTCAAAACAAAAAAACAGAAAAACAAACAATGCAGACCAACAGAAAAGGCAGATGCAGTGGGCAGAATCGCAAAGTTCACCGAGCTGTTTGCAGATTGGAGTTGGCTTGATGAGCCACGTTATTTCCTGGATAGATAGAGTCCCTCTGCAACAGCATCTGGAAAGTAGAGAAACATCCCAGCAGGCTGTTGCAGAAGGGAGGGAGGAGGAGGAGGGCGTGGATGTTGTTGGACTGGAAAGGAGGGAGTAACCCATGAAAGATTAGAGCTGCGGGAGGTCAAGAGGAAGCATGTTTTCTTTTAGATTACAAGCCAATGGTCGTGTTTTTTCACCCCTGCAGAGAGGGAGAAGCTCAAATTATTGCAGATCTTTTACATTTACAGTTATGTTTGTTTTTGAAATCCAAATCAAATCCTTTTTATAGATGCTCTTCCCGCGCAGTTTATTCCAATCCAGCCATCCAAAAACAGGCTACAGCCACACTGTTACACTTCAGATCCATTAAAAAGGAGAGCAGAGCTTCGCTAATGAAAAGATGCAGTATACCCTTCCTATGCAACCAGAGAGCAACCTTCAAATGAACATTTGATTATTTCTGAAAGGTCTTTGCTCAGAGGATTTTGAAAAAGGTATAATGCACCTTTCAAACAGAGAGATCAAAGAGAACGACCACCAGAGCACACAGAGGAACAGAAGCTGCTCACTAGAGTGATCACAAAACAGCAGCTCCCCGAGTTTGAGCCAGTGAGGTGGCAAATGCACCCAGTGACCACCCAGCGCAGAATCAACCACAAGCTCATTGACACACAAAAGAGACAAACATTGGAAAATTTCAAATGAGCCGACGAGGAGACGAAAAGTGACTAAACCTTGAGTCTAATTCAGTACATGAGGAACGAAACAAAAAGCATGGCAGACCACCGAAAGCACCTGAGAGCCGAGAGAGATGGACTAGCTTCTTTTTTTTTTTTTTCGGAAGAGCAGGTGTACATACCTCCTGAGGAAAGACAACAGCCAAAATCATGGGAACAAACAAACAAACGAAGAGGGGGGAAAAAACATAACAAATCAAATTAAATGATAAGTAATTACATCACCACAATCCTTTTTTTTTTTTTTTAAATCAGTGAGGCTTGGATGTACTGCTTTACAGGATCCATTCCACAAGAGGGAGCTCCGCTTCCGCTCAATGTGGTCGGCGTCTGTAAAGCACTACATGAAACAACAGAACGCCTCTGCTTGGTTTCATTTCACTTATCTCAAGTATATTCCCTTCCACCATGATTATTTGACTCATTTCTCCCCATTAAGAGTCATAGGAGAAAGTTATTCTCACTTCTTTATCATAGTTGGTTGTAAAGATTCACTGTTTTGTAAATGCCTGATTTTTTTTTTTCTTCCAATTGATACTGGGTTTCTATTTTCACAGTGAACCTAAACAACTGAAAAAATATCTCAGAGGAAACAAAGGGAGAAAGAGAGGACGTGTAATTTATGGTAAGAGATGTAGATACCAAATTATTTCTGTTGAAACCCAATTATTTAGAACAGCCAGGATTAACCGAATTCATCTTCTAATCACTTCTGACCAGCTACGCTGCCCCTCTCTACTAAAAAATATGCCCACATCATGATGCTGCCATCACTGTGTGCAATGCTTCATACGTAACATAACCTAGCTTTAAACTTCTCTACAGCTTTCATCCTGACTCTACCTCTTTTAGCAGACCCAAATGAAAAAGCAAATAACTAAGGAACTGTAAGCCCAAATTACACGTGTGCTACATCATTACCTTCAAATTAAATTAGCGTGACTAAAACACAGCTGAATCTGCATCATTTTAAACATGACTCATAGTTGGGGGCTTTTTCTTCTCGAAAATAAAACCTATTTTTTGAATAGCAGTAACAAAGACATGCTTGACAACAGGCATGTGTTATTGTATTATATTTATTCTGCATCGTGTCAACCACAGCTGCAGAAAATTTCAAACCTCTAAGTATACCAGTTCCAGAGCTGTGGAACTTTTAAACAATTGTTGAACTTTTGAAAGCAAGCATTGTTTCCTTTCATTTTTTTGCATCCTTCCTTTGCTTATCTGTAGAAAAGATCTGCATAAAATACAAATGGAAGTCTATGGTTTTAACAGGACAAATTATAGCGAGGTTCAAAGGGTCCGTCTACTTTTGGACAGCTCTATAAGCCCCCAAAGTAACTATTGATGTGCTTTCTATCCAGTTTCTAAAACGATCTTGAATAATTGAAATGTTTCGATTTGTTCTGGTTTGATTTATTATACATTAAAGCAGGCAAAGAGGCCTTCAGGTGTTTGTACCTATTCCCACATTCATCATCACACACAGGCATGTGTGCTCACTGACCGTAGACCTCAAGAGAGAAACAGTCATTCTCTATATTTTGATGAAATAAAGAAATAAGGTCCTCTAATGTCAGGGCGTTCCTGAGGGAGCGAGAACGTTAGAGTGGTCCAACTCACCCAGCTTCAACAGCCAGCCCTCTCTATCTGGGTTGAAGAACGTGTGCGTGAGGTCGTTGCCGTCGTCTTCGGGAATTTTAAAAGGTTCATTCTTGATGCTGTCGTATAGATTCTGAAACGAAACGTTCGATAGAGTTCAACAGGGAGAATGTTAGAAGGGGGCGTCACCAGACGCCGAGTTCTGGTGCTGTCCTCACCCTGAGCAGGTCTTCAGGTAGGTCTCCTCCGTCGTTAATTCCTCTGTTCATGGAGATGAACCGCTCCACAGTCGGCTTGTCCTTTACATTTGGGTTGTGAAGACTGGTGTTTAACATGATGATGGCAAACGAGAGGATATAGCATGTGTCTGGAACACACAAAAAGAGGTGTTCTGTTAACGGGATGGTTAATATAAAGTTTACCAGAAAAAAAATCCTCCAGTATAATGACATGATTAAATATGAATGCAAACTATCCAAGCTGAATGCGTCCAGGCGGAGAGGAGTGGACAGATGTAGCACTGTCTGGGAGCAGAGTGGGCGCACTGCACGTGGGCTCTTCAGCATGCATGTGCGTCTCTAAGCGTGCAATAAGCATGAGCCGTGGGACGACACGGCAAGCGCACGGCTGACACAGCAGCACTTATAAGCACCGTTGGATTCGAGAAAGCACATGAAATATTCATCTCCATCTGCATGCATGTCGGCGCCTGTCTGTTGGGAGCGTCGTTTTCCAGAAGCTCAGAAGATAAGGAGTCTGTTAAACGAAGCCGCTTTGAAATGATTTTCCTTAACTGGCCACCACATCTTGGTCTAACAGTCTTATTTAAATACATTTCAATTGGTGCAAGCCAGTTTAACAGGATAATAAGCACTAAATCTGAATATTTTATGCACTGTGGTGACACCTTTTGCATGCTTTTTAGATGAATCCTGTAGAATTCCTCACAATTGACTTCTTTAGAGAATAAAAGGCTAATTATATTGAACAAGCTGCTATTTATTGGACAAATGTTAATCTGTGTCTTTGGAAAACACAATAAATTTACCTGTGGATTGGAAAACACCAGGGTTACAATGGCAGTAGCGCTGAGCGAAGGCTTCCATCATGCGGTCGATCTTTTGGGCTTCTCCTGGCAGACGGAAACTCCACAGGAACTGCCTGATATAAAACACACTTTCATTCAGCAACGCTCTGATTCCCTGCTTAAAGCAGATTCATCTCAGGCTCCTTTATGAGTCTGATTCTAACAGCCGCGTCTTTCCAAATTACAAATAAGTCAACATTTGAAGGCAGACATCTTACCTCAGGGCCTGGACCAGGTTTAGATCTGTGAATTCATGAAGGTCCACAAACGCATGGAGGACTTGGATATTGAAGTCGTCTCTGAGGGAAATATGACAAAATTCACTTTTTTTTTAGCATCAATCGGCATATTTTATAGAGAACAAAACATTAAAGAAATACATTTCAAGCAGATCAGACAAGAAAGTGAACTTTTTATTGACCTTTGTCTTAAAAACTGTTAGAATGACTAAATAGTCACATTTGATTGATTGATCAATGATGAATAAAAATAGTTTATCTTTAAGGTTTAATAAAAAGCAATCACATAAAAATACTAGTGATACACCAGAGAATCAAAAATGTTTTACTTGTATATCTCTGATCGGAAATACAAAAAAAATTATCATTTATTGAATTCAAACTGATAATTTTTTTCATGTTTCAAAAGCATTTTATTTATTTTTTTTTGTTAATTGCATTTAGAGGTCAAATCAGAGGAAATATAGGGACATTTGCTCTGATACACTCACTGGGATAGTGTTCTTATCGTTCTTTATCTGTTGATTATTAGCTCTGACAAGAAAGCTGCACCATTTTTCCCTTTCTTCCCTTCTTCAATGTTTATTAAGATTAATTATCCAATTAATAGTATATAAATTTGTATTGGAGCTGCATAGAGAAACAGAATCAGCAGACCATTTGGTAACATGTCTGTTTAAACATGAAAAATATATTGTTTTCCAGAAAAGTGACGATACCAGATATACACACACTACCAGGCAGTGCTCATAAACACCTTTTGGTATGCAGGTCATTGCTGAGTGAAGCAACAATACAGCAAAGCTACATTTAACAGCAGTGAGGTGTTTAAAATGAAATAAGAGGAAGAAAAGTCGATAAAAAAAACAATTAAAATGGTTCATTCAGGATGTGAGATGGTAAGACAGAGTGAGAAATACAGTATATAACAGAAGGGATTTTAGCAAATGTCAGAATTAAATAATTAAATTCATCAATAAAGACATAAACTATGCTTTGTGTGCTGCTAGGTTGTTTGCTAAAGCTGCTAAAGACAATTTATAACAAAATTGTAACAAAATACAGGTTTTATAGCTCTATTTTGAAATAATTTCATATTTACACATAAAATAAATGATAAATGATCATTTATAGTAAAAAAAAAAATAGCATAAGAATGTTAGAGCTGCTTTGACATATTGTTGCATTATAGATCTGCTTAAATTTATATGAGGGAAATGCTTGATAAAAAGACAGAGATTCTTTGATGGACCAAACCTTGAAGAAGACTGATTAATGGTATTAATCTGTAAAGGCCAGATTGAGGCCTCTAAGAAATGTAGATATGTAGAAATAAGATTCAGAGAGAACCTAAAAAGTTGTACGTAATGACTTCTTTTGTGTGTTTCTGGTTTAAAACATTAGTATTTCAAGTGATACACCCCTAATCCAACAGGGGGGATACATATCCCCACCCCTGTCTACTTATCTAAACTAGATCATGAGCTCATCCCGCCCTAAAAGTCCTTCAGAGTAAATGATCTCTCCTTTGGGATGACGGAGAGGCTCTAAGGAGCTAAGCATCATATCCAGTCATCACTTTGGACAAATGACCACTAGAATCTCAAGAACCCTGCAGGAAATAAAGAAACCAAAACAAAGAAATGTACTCGTTAAAAACCCCACAAAGGGATTTCATAACACTAAACAGTCTCAGAGAACTCCAGACTGGACATTAAGCTCAGGCTTTTCTGATCATATCTACATATCCAGTGAAATCCTTCAGCTTTAAACATGCATTCCTAAGTTCTTAGTGTCTTGGTCAGTTCACTTATGAATGAGAGTGCTAATGTAAGACATATGAAGGCTGTTGAGTAGGAGACATTCTCTTCAGATGAGGCTATAACTGTGGAACCAATATCTAGTGTTTGGGAAGGAATTGGCGTGGGCCTGATAAAGCGTTAAAAAAGCAACAGGAAAACTACGCTCTGTGAATTAAATGGCTCCATCACCCGATGGATAGTTGCTAGTAAAGAGGAATGAAAGCAAAAGAGCGAGAAGCGGAAAGGAAGCGCCTCGCTGACCTTTCCCCGAGGTAATCGCCGATGGCTGTTTTGTTAAGGCCCTCGCCTTTGTAGAGGAACTGAGCGATGTTATCCTTGGTGTTCTTCAGCAAGTCATTCTCAATCAGGAACTGGATCCCCTGAATAAGAGATCAGACCTCCAAATTAAAACCCTGCATGTCCAAACAGGTGGAACAAAAACAACAATGTTTTATTGCAGCTACAAACCTTTTTGGGGTCCATGTTAAACTTCTTTCGGCCCATGGCCACCTGTTTGTTCCTCTGCATATTTTTCCTGGAAAGTCAAAATCGAGTTATATCATTAGTTGATTTTGGAATTAATACAAGATTATGTATTACAGAGATGAGTTTTGTCTTTAACTAAAATAATAAAGCTTTAAATATTCCTCACAAACTTTGGCTGCTTATCAGTCAAACAAGTCAAATTACTTCAATAAATTCCTTTGGTGTGGTTCTCGTTCAATAAATCAGCAGGGAGCCGTGGTGAATTTATTCCGCTTGGAGAGTCTTTCTCCCTGACATTTTTTTTCTTTTTGGCAGAGGCTGGTGATGCTGTGCCGGACAAGTAAGATGTTAAAAGGTTGAGCTGCATATGGGAATGTCTCATTTCTCAGGCTTTGAATAATTCAGAGGTCAAAGTGCACCTCAGTTCTCGGCTGATGGGATGTCACCACCTCTTTTCAGAGAAATAAATGTTCAATTTGGTTTGTCAGCAGTGATGAGAGATGTTGTTTTTCCAACACATGCAACTCAAACCATGAGAATATTCTTGGATCCTCAGTGGGTTCCTAATGCAAGTGTAAAAATGGTTAGATGATATTTTCATAGCTGATAGGATGCTGATCCGCCTAAGTAGACGCAGATCTCAAGCTCTCCTTCAGGGACCATCTATTGTCTGCTTCTGCCAGTACACCCACTGCATTATTCAATGGGGCCTCCCATCATGGGGGGGCGTGGCTGATGAAACATTTAAACTGCCTTAAAAGCAAAGCCAATTTATGACGGACATTAAGTGTGATGGAAAACCCGACTTAGCCATCAAACATGAATAATTGACAGCTTCATTTTGCTAACTTAATAGAAGGGATGCAATGAGCCAGCTTAGGCAAAACAGAAAGGGAAGAGTTGGGTCCACTTTTTTTTTTTACCTCTCCTCAGTGGAACCAAGGTTCTCGATCTCGCTCGTCACTACTGCTATCTCATCCTTCAGCCGCTGCAAAGAAAAACAAACAGAAATTTTACAACACTGCAGGTCCTCTTTCCATCAATATTACAGGGTGTTAGGAAAACAGAACAACAAACTAATAATCTGTAAGGAAAAAAAGATCAATGCTTTCCCAGTTATCCTGAAAAACAGCTGAAAAGGCAAAAAACCTCAACATATGCTGACTTGAAACAATGTGTAAGTGGATGGTGTCTTATGATGCACTCTACTGATGGCTATAGAGGATGTCTTTGTCGATCAAGTCGATGTTGTTGGAGCCAGACGGGCATAATGGTCATAAGAAGATGATGAGGATGATGATGAGGGGGTTGGTGTCAGCTTGATATAGAGATGGAATACTAGAATGTAGGAGAGCTAATGTAAAATTTGGGTCATTTAAGAGATCCAGTATTATCTATTGGGGTTGATATAAGATGATGTGCATAAAAGGATTCAAGATGATGAAAAACTGAAGTCTGTTTAGTTCCAGTTGCTGTCAGTATGGCTTACTGCAGTCCCCATATGGAGAAACAACTTGAATTAAATTTTTACAGTTTTTTTGGCCATCTTCTGCTACCTTGTTTTCTGACCTCCTACAAACTTTTCTTCATAGAGCTCAGAGATCTGAAGATCAAATGCTGTAGGTGAGAGGAGGAACATACAGCAGAACTGATTGGGTGGAGAGACATCTACTGCCCGCCTACCGAAGTTTAGTTTTAGCCAATCATTGTAGCAAATGAAAATCATGGTTTAACAGGAAAGGACTGCTCAGTGTCGCAGTGTGTAGCAAGAAGGTTCTGGGTTCGATTCCTTTCTGCATGGAGTTTGCATGTTCTCCCTGAGCATGTGTGGGTTCTCTCTGGGTACTCCATCTTCCTCCCATAGTCCAAAAACATGACATGTTAGGTTAATTGTGATGGACTGGTGACCTGTCCATCGACCTGTCCAGGATGTACCCCGCCTCTCGCCAGTAGACAGCTGGAGATAGGCACCTTGCAACCCCACTTGGGATAAGGGTGTAAGAAAATAGATGGATGGTTGAACAGGAGGAAGGCCACCACAATGGAGTTTATGTTTATGCTTTGAGCTTCTATTTTTTTCAAGAATCTTTTTTCCAAATTCCCAAAAAGTTAAAAAACAATCCACTGGACTTTGTTTCCAAGTTTGAAGACATTTCGCTTCCCATCCAGGAAGCTTTTTTCAATTAGAAAGTGAAATGTCTTCAAACTTGGAAACAAAGAATCCCATTTGATATACAGAATAATAATAATCACAATCAAGTAAACCACAAACTAAAATAAACAATACAGGGATTAGACACTTTACATACTTTACAGATACAGTTTGTGATTTCTGAAACATTTGCTTTATATGAGAAAACAAAAATGGACATTCTTAGTTTTTAAGGAAACACTTGCCTCTTGTTATGAAATACAAAACTTTTGTTGTCTGAATGCTGAATCCAGAATTCCCATTCACGGAGCAGCTTCATTCATACCCAGCTTCAGTGATAGCATATCATTCATTGTGGACAAAACTAACTTAGCAAAGATAAACCACAAAAGACACATCTGTGTTTTCAAGCCAGTGCAATCACAATACATTCCTCAGATGCTTCTCGTCCAAAACAAAGACCTCATACAGAAAAAAAAAAAAAAGACAGGGACTGTGGTGGGTTGACACTCAGGAGTAGCAGAGAGAAGGGAGTCACAAAAGGGGAGTGGGGTCAGACAACTGAGGGGGTGAGGAGGGTGGAGGAACAGAAGCAACACTGGTGGTGCGAAAGGGAGGAGGGGGAAGGGCAGCATCAGTGTCCCAGACTCGTAAAAATGAAGTAATGGAGCCCACCTCCAAAGCCCACAGGGGTCAGCAGAAGTCAACTCACCCTACGTCTATCCCCTGGGGGGGATATTCACTCACTACTACGTGTTACTGAGTGACAGGACTAACCTGAGCTGCAATCTAGAATAATCAGCTGTGAACGGGTCATGACAGGAATCAAATAAATGTCTTCTATGGAAACTCAAAACTAATTTGAATACATAAACATTCCCCTGACCACTTCACTGCCTTCACTCAGACACTCATTTTCTTATTTTACTAACATCCACTTTAAATTTAAACCAGTTTTAACCTTTGGATGCAAAACCTACCAATATCTACACTCTTCCACCAGTAGGGTCCAAAATCACACCAATTAGAATTGTTGTCCTTTTGCAATAAACTAAAGACACTTCTATTATTTTGGTTAAGATGATACAAAAGAGGAATTTCATTTTTGACATCTACCTATTTTTACAAGCCATTCAGATTATAGCATTTGATCGATCAATCCGTACGATCAGAAGTCAAAACATGTTTTTTCTCCCTTTGTCTGGAGAACGAACAGAATATGAATGTTTTATAACCTTTAATTTGAAAGATTTTAAAGAATTATAACACACAGGGTCAATTTAGACCCCACATGTGGATTTAAGTGCTAAATAAGACTCAAATATACACCTAAAAACATCTTGTTCTGTTGTTGTAGGACACCTAAGGAAGAAAAACCAGTGAGCAGTGAGGAGGGAACAGTTTCAAAGGAATTGACCTATTGGTAGGAAATACCTCACATTCCACAAGGATTGCAGAAGATAACTGGGAAATAAATAAGCAACAGCTTCTGACCCCAAAACACAAAAACAATTTAGGCAAAGAATTTCACTATTTATGTTGGGTTAAAGCAATCCAAAATGCATTTCATTCATTTTCTAACAATATATTTATTACACCCATGCAATTAAAACTGCCTCTTTCTTCCCCATTACCTGAATGTCCTCTAGCAGCTCCTGCTTTCGCCGGCGGATATTCTCCAGCTCCTGCTGCTCCTCCGGGGTGAGATCGTCTGGAACTGGAAGGAGATAAAAGAGAAGATGAAAGGTTAGCATCAGTAGGCTTATCTATACACGTCTACTCCTTAAGTATATCCCTAAGGGGTGCAATGGTGAACCAAAATCTGATGATACTTTCTAATTTTTTTTTTTTTTTGGAAACCAAAAGGTGAAAGCAAAGCCAGGGTCAGGGATTTGGAGTGCAGAGGCAGAAGGTTAAATATCATGATTAAAATAAAAACAGCAGATTATTTTATTTATTGATTGTTATAATCTTCATTATTATCAAATGAAAGTATTGTGCCCTGTTTGGGACTCATTTCTGCAGCAGTAAGGTTCTCCCTGAAGAGCAGAAAACCTCTTGTTGACAATATAAAAACTCAGGGGAGAACAAACGTGATGGGTTTCAAAGTGCTCTAAGTATCTCTCTCACAATATGAGCCTATAATTAGCTTGGCCTGTGCCATCAGCTGGGGGCCGAGCAGCGTGTCCTAGTTAAAACCAGCTGTACGTGGGCACTACCTGCACAGAGAACAAAATCAGCCTCAGTTTTTTTCATCAACACTCGTATATCAAGAAAGCAGAACCTTACAACACTTCAATTTGCAGCCGCAAAATGGACGCTTTTGATAGCCGATTTAATATAATGAAGAAACAAATATTAGTGTATGAATGTCAGATTACATTCGATGAATTTAGTGGGAAATTATTCTAACATAGTAACATTTCACCTTAAACTCAAATCTGTCCATTCCGGTTGCTGTTGGTGCCAAAAAAAGTTTTAGTTTGAGTGGGAACAGCTCACTGTCCCGCGTCGACCTAGGTCAAACGACTCAGCAAGCGTCTTGGTTAAGAGCTCAGCTCCGATTGGCTTACAGTGAGTAAATCTGACCCAGGTCGACGCACTAATTTGCATGATACCATTAAGGTAAGGACTTCAGCATATTGCGCCAGTCATGTCTGATCTTACAAGCCAAAACAACTCTGCTTCCATTGGTTAAAAATGGCGCAGCACTGGTACAATGGACTGGACGAACAAAAGAGCTGAGCAATAAAGACCATGGACTAGGCCATGGCTCCCTTCCATGCTCTCCATTGTTTACTATCCTGATTGCTGCCAAACTGGTGACATAATCAACTTTTAGTCATGATGGCGTCACCAGACACACAGCGGCGAGGGGAAAGAGGCCCTGCAGTTTTCCAGCTAGGGTTAGACCCAGCTTTCTTGGTAATGGGAAGGTAGCCAAATGCAGATTGTTAGCAGGTCCACTTGTGTGTAAAAAAACATACTAACCTGCTAACTTTAGTGAATAAGAAGTTTTATTAAGAAGTAAGACAAGAAGTACTTCATAGGCCGACACTTAAAGTTTCATCAAGTCTTGCTAACAATGCCCTTACTAAACAAAATAGCATGGTCTCCATGGATTATGGTGCATATTACCAAGAAGTATTAACTAGAGTATTTGACTTCTAGGATTTTAGTAATTTTACAAGACCACTGCTGAATAAAAAAAATAAAAATAAAATGTAGTTTTGGCTTTAAGGAGATTTGGAGCAGTCAAAACTCGAGCTACTCAATAAAATGCGTCCTAAATAAGTGTTTTCAGTGTTGGCCAGAAAAACTGTGAACAGGGCCTCACTACTCTTGGCGAGTTAAAGCATCATGGCCAAAAAACATGTCCATGAAATTTTGGCCAAAAGGTCAGTTAGAGTTCAACCAACTGGTCAAAATATGAGCAATAACCCAAGTGTCACACCCAACACTTGTAATTTAGTACCCTGTAATACTTTGAGAAGGTAATATTGCAAACACTGATGATGACTGCAAGTAAATATGTTAAGCGGTTTAAATTGTGTTTCTGAATTTTAATAACGCAGGCCTCTTTCTATGATTCCTCCTGTGGCCGAGCCTAAGCCCCGCTCTCTGACCTCAGCTCTTTATTAACGCAGCGGCAGAGTTCAAAGGTTGGAGGTCCAAAGAGAAATCTTGACCCTGTGTAACTCTAGAAACATTTAACAAAATAAGTGTTACATAGTGATTGAATGTAGGAAGGAAGAAATGTTCAATATACGAGGTCTTTGATTTTTAAGTTGCCAGCTTTCTATTAAAAAAATGCAGCCGTTGATTCCATTTCCCCTAAATCGGTGAATGAACTTTTCACCTTGAGAACAATTCGTGTAAAAGAGGTTACTTATTTTTAATAACATGAGGCATGTAAGCCTGAACTCCTAGAGGCTAATTCCCGTGACATCTACTGGAATGTCTGACTAAAGAATAATGGACAATAGAAACCAGGACAGAACTGGTGCCTTTCACCCGCCTGTTAAGGACGACCAAAACAAAACCCTGTTTTCTTCCTGAGGCAGTTTGACACTGACCCTTCACACTTCATACCTTACGACCTACTGCGACGTCATCCCATAAACTTCTCTCATTATCGAAGGAAACCACAATGTACAACTTTTTCCACTTGGACTTTATAATCAGAAGTGACAACGATGCTTCTGGACAATAATTGCATAGCAGTTGGTCAATTTCTCTTTCTGGAAACATGATTGTGGGGTTGTGCAGCACGACTCAGGCAACCAGAACATTCCAAAACTTGGTAAGACGGACAGGAGATGATCAGCAGAGAACACTATAATTTGGCTCCGAGAAAAATAGCAAACAATTGAGAAAAGAGATAATTTGAGCAAGAAATCGGTTATCTTGTATCACTTAAGCCAGAAAAGGAAAAACACGGAATGAATCGAAGGACTTGAGACACAGTTTTTAAGACTGTGTTTAAAATCAATCCCAATTCTAATTAATCAGCATTGCAGGAGAAGAAAGATGTTGTTTTTTAAGTGCTTGTGCCACAGATGCTCAGACTGGGGGCAATTTCCCACAACTCTGCAAATAACGGGCAGCCAATTAGGTAAATGCTGAGAGCAACAGTCAACTCTTAGTCTGCAATCTTCTGCACTGACAAGGCAAATAAGCATTCTCTGTCCAGTGGAAATAAAAAAAGCGAGTGTTCTCATCCTTTCTGCCCACATTTAGAGCGTTGAGACTTTTGGATGCTTCAGATGCAGAAAACTCTACGGAGAAGCTGGAAAACAGGTCATTCAGGGCAACATTGTTTTCTATGTGCGTGTGAAATTGTGCATACAAAAGTTGAAGTGAGGCACAAAGAGCAGGAAACTAACATGACTCTGCATATGCACACCCATTCTGTGCTTCTCGCTACTGTTGGCACTGGGTCAGGAAAGTGCAACTTCTCGCCATAACCCAACGTTACAAAAATACAAATTAAATAAAAAACATACGGTCAAACAACAAAAATCCATCACATTTTTATTTGCCAAATAAGTTGACCAGTTAAGGTTAAGCTTTTCTTTCCTGATTGGTGGTAAAGAGCTGGAAAAATCCAGTTTTTATCCCAATTCCGTGAATCCATCAAATCTACAAACTCCTACTGTTTTAAGCATGTAAAGGCATCAAGCAGTTAAGCATTTAAGCCTTAACCTTTTTAGTTGTGCATGTTTCAGAAATCAGACTAACATGAGTCACTTCTTAATTTTCGGGTGGACCTATAATTTGAGGAATTGATAAAAGATGAATCGTCGTAAAATGTGTGAATTCACAAACTCCCGAAAATAGACCTTGCCAGAAGCCAATAGATGCATAAGCCTTGAATACAGAAATGTTTCGAACCACTGAAATGTAGTGACGTGTACGACGTCAACAAGAAGCACAGGCTGAAGCTAGACAAACATGGCTGTGCTACTGGATGTACCAGGGGATTGTCTGTTTGGGTGATTTGGGCCTTTGTGGATGGGTTGACATGTTTGCTCGTTCCTCACAACCAGATTGATTGATCAGTTTACTCTTCTGGTTCTGAAACAAACCAAGAAACTTATACATCACAGCTTCTGCTCTGATTGGATAAAAGGTTGACAAAGGAGGCAGGTTCCAGTTGGTCCAATCAGCTCAAAGAATTGTACTGAAAGTCCCTCCCTTTTGCAAACACTTTCTACAGGAGGCTCTCCAGATTAATACCTTGTAGAATTCAGATTGAACTACATGTATTAATCTGGTTTATACCAGCTCAACAAAGGGTCACTAGAAAATATTTGTGCTCTGTTTTTCTTCACCCATGTTGTATGACACTTGAAGCAACTGTGAGAGTAGGCTCACGTGGTTGGACAAAGTCTTCCAAGACATGACATAAGATCCTATAAATCCAAAGAGAAAGATGAAATTCCTAGAGAGAAGAATTCCCTTCCTACTCGGGTGGGTATAAATAAATCTGCTATGTTTGTTTTTATTTCTTTGCCAAAACATTTCTATAGTTATGATTATCGTGTCTCCAAATTAAAGTTGACCCGTAATTGTCTTCAGGAGGTTGTTGGCCAACTACTTAATTGGCTGTTTTGGACTTTTTCTTAAAAGAATGCTTCAGATATGCTTCACCAGTGCATGGAAACATAATTGTTCATTTCCGCTTGCTGGAAGTGAGTCAACCCTGATTTTAAGAGAGAATCTGCAATATGTAAATAAAACACTTACACTGAAGTCAGTTGGTTTCAATCAGGAAACTAAGCATTAAGCCACCGTGTTTTTAGAAAAACAAAACAAGTCCTTAAAAATAAAAAAATAAATGCCAAGTGCACTCTATCAAGTGTTTAAAGACACATTTTTGTAGTAAAATCAAATGTTTTGTCCCAGCTTTCATTATTTTAGAGTGCCTTTCGATCCAATTTATGACTTGGAAAAAGTCAATACTGTTTCCCTTAAACTAATCAGGTTGCCTTATTCAACGCTGCAGCACCACGTTGCTGCAAACTGCCCTCTACATATACTGAATCACATTTTCTAATGAAAAGACATAATTCACATTTTCTCTGTGACCATAAGCGTGCCCTTAAATTTTGTCATCTTTGAGCATTTTGAAGCAGATCCATTTTTAGTGAGGGCTGGGTCAGCAGAGAGGACTGTGGTGGGTTACATCAAGGGAGGTATCAAATATAGCTCCGT